TTTTTTTTTTTTTTGAAGAAACATAGTCTGGCACCTTAGTGTCCTGATGAATCCTTCTGCACGAATCTCCAAGAACACAAAGTTGGATATCATACATTATAGGGGCTGTTTGGTGACATGGATTAGTGGGGTTATTCGAGTATAAAATTTGGGCTTAAACTTATCCAGAGTTTGGTTGTGGGTATTAGACAAAATCAGGATAAAATTTATATCAAAAATTCAAAAACATGGGATTACCTATCCCATATAGAAGGTGGATTATCTATCCTGGTTTAATTTCTAGGATTATAATCCTGAGATAAACTTGTTTTGAACCAAACGACCTCTTTAAAGTCACTTTCCGACATACAATACTGAGAATGCTCAAGAATCTAGCTCGGTATAGTCCTGTGTGGACTGCATTATGAGTTTTGATTGTTTGTGGCTTAATGCAATAAAGTGATTATCTCGGTACTAACTGCATTTGTGTTATCCCTCTATTCTAATCTCAGATGAACACTAATTTTTGTCTGTCAATCCATTTAAGATTCACTGTAATGTTTGAGACTGGATATCAACATCTCATGTTGTGTTGAGTTAGGTTTCTCATAAACAAAAGTGTGGCTGAACCATATGCTCTTTGCCTAAAACCTGTATATGTGACTGTTGTATACCATACTCTTCAGGCATTACGTGGTCACGGAGCTTGGCCAATCAGAGGATATAACTGTCATTGATTTGAAGGCACTGTTGACCTGTTGAGATGAGGCAAACATTTACTTGATGCAGAGAAAGAAGAGACAAGTGAGGAAAAGCTCTTCTTGATCCCTGTTCTATAATTGCTAAATTTTTTATCCCCATAAATTTATTAAAAGTAATATTGGTTGTTCAAAGTATTTGACTTTGGTGTGCCATTTTATTGAGCAAGGACTACAGGTTACAAACTTATAGTAACCCATCAAACTTATTTAATTGTTTGAGCTAATGAGGAGATATTTACCCTGCTGCTGCTGCTTTGTGAATATGGTATTGGTGAATATGGATGTTATATATGCTTGAAGTCCCAGATGAACTTGTACTTGACGTATGTTGACCTGTGATTTCACAGGACTCATAATCAAATTTTCAGATATTTATTTTCATCTATGTAATAGTAGCTCTCAAAGGGAAACCAAGAAATTGCAGAAAAGGGAATTAGTAAAAAAAGGAGGAGACGGTAAATATAGAAATTGGTCTGTGTATATACTACATAGTAAAAGGCAGTCCGGTGCACTAAGTTACTGTTATGCGCGGGTCCATGGAAGGGCTGGACCACAAGGGTCTATTGTACGCAGCTTTACCCTGCATTTCTACAAGAGTCTGTTTCTACGGCTTGAATCCGTAACCTTCTGGTCACATGGCAGCAACTTTACCAGTTACGTCAAGTACTCCCTTCGTAAATACTTCATAGTCTTTATTTTTAATTAAAACTCAATACTCCAAAGTATGTTTGACAGCATGCCAACTCCTGATAGACCAGAGAGCAAGTACGCCAATGATTTATAAGAGATTTTTCATAGTAGTATGAACAAGACGAAAAAGGGTCATTTCATCTATGTCCGTACTACTACTTGTGCTGTGCGTTCAAGTCTTCGAACAATATAGAAGGAGAATTTCCCTATTAGCCGGCAAGTCAATAGTCGTAAGTGGACTAAAATTTGCAGTATTTTCTATTAGGGAAATAATATGGTAGAAAGGAGTTAGATGATATATATTTATTTTTTTACCATACTATTTCTTATCAGTTATACATTGTAGTTATAAAGCTGTCCCTAGAATTATGGATGACAGTCTATTTTGATTTTGCGTTATCGGCGTTTTTATCGACTAGCAAAAATAGAACAGTGAGTATATAAATTTAAATCCTATTGGTTTTAAACTCTTAAGGAAATTGGACTATATTATAAAATTCTACATTTTAGTCCAAATAATTGTTGGATAATACTCCTAATAGTTAAGTCTAATCCATCTTGAGCTGCAATTAACAACCCACTTTATTAATCTAACGCTCGAGTTTTTGTCATGGTCAAGTGACATGGCGTGTTTAGTCAAATAAATAAGCTAATGAAACTATGCCCCATTGTTAAAATGACACAATATGCCAAATTAAATAATAAAAAGTCAATAAGAACATTTAAATGTAGACCCAAGATTCACCAATCAAATCAAAGCAAAAACAAAAAAGCATGTTCTCGTCACACCTCCTCTCTTTAACAATTACAAGTAGGGTACTCCATCAGCTGAAAGGATCATTAGAAATTACAAGTAGCAACTGAGAATCTTGCAAAATAAATACTTCTAAGTATTTCTCCATAAGTTACAAACATTCAAGCATTTATATACAAAGTTTCAAACATCTAAAATGATCTAACGACTCTATCAATTATATTCTTTTTTCATCAGATCGATACTAACTTGCCTATTCGTGAGGAATAAGGATAAACAAATTGTTCGTGAGATAAGTTCAAGGTAAAAACTCTCAAGCCCTTGAATTAAACCAAATTAAACTCTAACTCAATCGGCACTTTGGGTCTAGTTTTGATGGGGAAAATTAGAGGGGAGTGTCATGCCTCACCACATCATCATGCCATGTAGGTGCCACTTGGCATAAATTTTTGCTATATGAAAAGCTTACATATGAAATAGACTAACACATGTGGGAAGGTTCTACGGAAATATGGAGATTTCTCGTGAAAGACCTTAGAATCCTATGGAATTGCTAGGAAAGTACTTAGAACATTCTAGCTATGTAGAAAAATTTCGAGAAAGGACTTACTCGTAAATAATAAGGGACTTGTGTAATAATTATTATTTACTCACTAGTTCCTAGAAGACTAGTATATAAAAGAGGCTATTCATTTGTAACTCACCAAGCAAAAACAATCAAGTTCTCTACGATAAAAAGCATCATTTGGCAAATTTCTCTTGTCTTTCTTATCTAATATTCCTTTAGCGATCTTGAGTGTAATATTTTAGGCTGATTTGGCATAGCAAAATCGTGCACAAGGTATGCAAGATTGTGAGAAAGTTATCAAATGTCGGAAGTGCGCTTAGTTCAAGACCAGGGACGTGACAGGAGTCTCTTTAAATTTAAGTCACTCTAGAGTTTATAACCCTCCTAATTTCTTGAAATCAAATATCACAATTTACTGTCTTATCTTGTCTTAATTTCTGAGGCACAAATATTTGTGCTACAGTAAGTAGTTGATAGCTAGAAATTTTCAGAAGTAAATAGGGCCGCAACTTCGTACCGGTGTTGCCCTTTCTTTTCTAAGGATAAGGAGAAGAATCTGGATTCGGAGATTCATTGACAATTTACTACTCCGTCATACTCATTCAAGATTTTCCCTGAGAAAATCTAGCCAAATGTCGGACGCGCTTTTTCCCGCGGCCTTCTGCTGGTTACAATGTTTTATTCTTGAAAAAGTCAACACCACGAGTCCACTGTCCTTTCCCAGTGACATGCAAAGGTCAAAATTCTGGTAAATTTAAAATTTAAAATTATTAATAATTAAATATGTAATTCGATGGTTCAAAAATAAATAAAAATCTGGATGAAGCCCCACGTAGAAAGAAACTTGCCAAATCAGAACATTTAATAATGGGAACCAGTCAATGCTTAAATACGTACTAAATACTGTAGTGTGGTGAATACCAAGTCCTGAACCACTTGGAATGTTCAATGCAATTTCTCATCTATTCGGCCAATCCTGTGGCTTTTCCTGAAGCCAATGCTTCTCTAAATTATGGTATTTTAATCACCTTGAATGTTCCTGGAAATTTCATTTCTGCTGCATTTTCTTGGTAACTCCCCAAAATACCATGTATCTTGGGGTTGGGTCTCGATTGTTTTTCGTTTAGTTTTTTTCAGGTAATTGTCGAGCACAGTCAACAAAGCATTTGATCTTTGAGTTGGCTTGTCCAAATTTGCCAATTCTTGGCAAGACTTTGCAACACTTAATCAGGTAAGCTATTTCATTGCTTGAATTTTGGTTGACTTACACAAGTCTTGTTCATACTGTTTCTGTTCCCTATTGCTTCAAATGAATGTTTAAACATAACCCATAAATTACTTTTCTTGATTTTGCCCATTTTGCATCGCATGTTCTTGAAAAGGTTTCCCTAGTTAAAATTGAGACAGTTTTTTTTTCAAAATTTCAAATTCTATATTCTCAAGCAAAATGAAGGTGTAAATTTTGTATCATGATCTGTATGAAGAATATTTTGTGTGTTTTTGACTTTAAATTGGTGTTCTGACTTAAATCCTTGGAAACCATAATGAAGGTTTCTTGAGACAAGATGAAGCAAAGTCAAGGCTTTTCCTCCAGTGGAATTATTACTTTGCTAGATTGATTGTAGAGTTTCTATATTGGTCACATGGGATAGCCTCAATTCTGGTCCTTGAGTATTTTTTCTTGGGTGAAAGCAAGATGCCAGATGTGATTAGTGCTTCTGCTTTAGGTCCATTTGCGGATATCCTCTCTTCAATTATAGAGTCCATCATTGAAGTAGTACTTTCTACCAATAATGTCTTTATAGAGAAGAAGAGTTTTGCAGAACTTTCAGCTTATCTGAATCGAATTGCTCCTCTTCTTAAGGAGTTTAACAGGAAGAACATTAATGATTCCAAATGCTGGGAAAATGTTTTAGAAATTCTTAACCGACAGATAGTGGATGCAAGGCAACTAATCTCGGATTGCAGTAAGAAAAACAAGGTCTATCTCTTAATGAGTTGTCGATCTATTGCAAAGCGCATAGAGAATATCACCAGGGAAATTAGCCGTGCATTAACTTGCATTCCTTTAGCTTCTCTTGACGTTTCTTCGGGTATAAAGGAAGAGATTGTCCAGCTGATCGACAGCATGCGTACAGCAGAATTTAGAGCAGCCATAGCAGAAGAAGAGATTTTAGAGAAGATAGAGTCGGGTATACAACAGAGAAATGTTGATCGCTCCTATGCCAACAATTTGTTAGTTTTAATTGCGGAGGCCGTTGGCGTTTCAACTGAAAGCTCAGCTTTAAGAAGAGAATTTGAAGATTTCAAAAATGAAATAGACAATGCACGGTTAAGGAAAGATCAAGCTGAAGCCTTGCAGATGGACCAAATAATTGCTCTGCTAGAAAGAGCAGATGCTGCAACATCCCGCCAGGAAAAAGAAAAGAAGTACTTCACTAAGCGGAAATCGTTGGGCAGTCAACCTTTGGAGCCACTTCTGTCGTTTTATTGCCCTATCACTCGTGAGGTTATGACTGATCCTGTTGAGACTCCTTCAGGGCATACATTTGAAAGGAGTGCAATAGAGAAGTGGTTGGCAGAGGGAAATTTGTGTCCTATGACATCTACTCCTTTAAACAATACAATGTTGCGGCCTAATAAAACTCTGCGGCAGTCAATTGAGGAATGGAAAGACCGAAATACAATGATTACTATCGCTTCCATGAAATTGAAACTATCATCCACCGAAGAGGAAGAAGTTCTCAATTACCTGGAACAGCTAAGAGATCTCAGCGAGCAGAGAGAAATACACCGAGAATGGGTTATTATGGAGGACTATATTCCTATTCTAATCAAGCTACTGTGTTCAAAAAGTAGGGATATCAGGAATCTTGTTCTTGAGGTGCTCTGCGTTTTAGCAAAGGATGGTGATGATGCTAAGGTACTTATTCTTTTGATTTCTTTTTTAGGTTTTTCAATGTGTTCTCTTTTCCTTGAGAGGCCACTAAGATCACATATGTTGTGAGATCATTAATCTCTCAAATTGTAGGGAGTTGGAATTTGAAAGCATTGTTATATGTTGAAAGTTGACACTAGGGTCAAGTCTTAGTTTTGAGCTTGTGAAAATTGTGAAAAAGGCTGACTAAAGATATTGACTTTGTTCATATTCATCTGGCGTTGTGAACCATGGTTGGGGCACAACAATTTGAGTATCATTGCAAGCCCAAGAGGGTATTGAGAGTGTAGAGAGCCCACATAGGATGTGAGCA